AAAAAAAAAAAAAAACTTTAAAAAAACAGCACATGGTAGCACTCCTCTGTTACCTCCTCCCTCCTAGTTTCTTCCCCAGCCCTGGGGTGGGCCTCTCCTCCAGAGGGTGGCTGAGCCCTACTAGGGAGGGGCCCACAAGCTGACCTCCTCTAGCTGGCCTAGAACAGACTGTGCCACCATGCAGGGGATCATCTTTTGAAAAATAAACTTCCATCTTATCTGAGAAAATCTGCTTTACATCCAGTAAGTAGCTTATTTGAATGATGCCTTTAAAGATAACGGCAGACACTAGTTAAAGGCCCTGGATTTCATTCAGTGACTAGTGACAGCAGGGTTAGAGCTGAGTGCTCTTCTGATTTGAGCAGAGGTCACTGGGCTTTTCAGGGGAAGAGTGAGGGACTGAGGGGGGAACAGATGAGTGTCACTGGTATACCCCATTGGCAGGGACTTAGCTTCCCCTATCAGGAGCATCAGAGAAAAATGACAAAGAGGTTCCTAATACAAATACACCTGCTAGCTGGTGGTTACAGAAGTTGGGGTTCTGTCCAGGGGCAGAGGCTTATTCTCCTTGATGCACAGGCTGTTTTGGGGAAGCTGATTCCAAGGTAAAGGAATCCATTTCTGTCACTGGAACACATTGCATCTCAAAGCTATAGAAAGACTCACAATTGTAGGCCCTTTCAAGTTGGTGAGTTAATTGTTAATGTCTGGCTATAGTAGTCCAGGCTGGCCTTGAACTTCTGTCAATCTTCCTGTCTCAGCTTCCCAAGTGCTAGGGATACAGCCTGACTTGTAAATCCTATTTTAAAAGTTTCATTTGTGTGTGGTGTGTGTGTGTGTGTGTGTGTGTGTGTGTGTGTGTGTGTGTGTACGTACATATACGAAGGCAGAGGCCAGAAGAGGGTGAGGGATCCCCAGGAGCAGGAGTTGCAGTTTGTTCTGAGCACCTGACCTGGTGTGAACAGAACTCTGGACCTCTGCAAGAGCAGGAATCACTCTTAACCGCCGAGCCACCTTTCCATCCACATAACATCTCTGTGTTCTGAGGAAGGAAGAACGGGGCCCTGCATTCCAACTTTGCCAGAACAAACACTTCTCCTGGCGGCCTAGAGCTTCCTTAGACTGTGTTCTAACTGGCCAGTGAGCAGCGTGTGCCTCTGGGTCACGCTGCTAATAGCCGGTCCACACCGCTGGGCTCTAGGTGCAGAGGTTCACAGCCAGTGTTTCCATGCAAGAAATGTCTGCGGGTCTCACAGCGACCTGCCCCCAAAGTTACTCCCACAGAATCTTCATTCCTCCATCCAGCTTCATGGGGGGGGGGGCGCCCTTCCGATATCACTGAGTGCGCTCCTTTTAGAAACAAGGGGGTAGGCGATTGTGGCCAGCTGGAGGGTCACGTGGCATGCAGGGCCCCGGCGTGGTAGGCGGACCTATGCGCAGCAAAGTGAAAGTGGCCATCCTAAGCACCCTGGTGCTGCGGGACCCACCGCTTTGCTCTAGGGCGTCCTTCCTCCCTGTCCTGACCTTGGCTGCAAAACTTTGAGCAGCATAGCGGCTCCACCAGCCCCGAGCCTTAAGCCCCTCCTCGCAGTCCCCGCTGGTATACAGGTCTGCACCCGGGTCCTGTGCCATGGGTGCCTCCAGCTCCAGGGCGCTGGCCCGCCTGGGCCTCCCCGGGCAGCCCCGCTCCACCTGGCTGGGCGTCGCGGCGCTGGGCCTGGCCGCCGTGGCGCTGGGGACCGTGGCCTGGCGTCGTGCGCGCCCCAGGCGGCGCCGGCGGCTGCAGCAGGTGGGCACGGTGTCGAAGGTCTGGATCTACCCTATCAAGTCCTGCAAGGGGGTGGTGGTGACCGAGACGGAGTGCACCGCCATGGGGCTGCGCTGCGGCAAAGTGCGCGACAGGTACGGAGCCCCGAGCGCAAGATGGGGAGATGGGCGAGGGCCTGGGAGCTGGGGTCTTGTCCCGGTGGAAGCTTGAGACCCTGGTCGGTGCGCCCCTCGGTGAGGCGGACCCGTGAGAGCCCAGAGAGGTCTACTTGCAGCAAGGAGAGCTCGGATCAGCATGTTGACTGTTCTCTCTGAACCAAGAAAGCAATGGGTTTTACCTGGGAAACTTAGGCACACATATGGGAAAGAGCTGCCACTTACTAGAGGTGGCCAAGTTTCTGAGCATGCTAAGTTGGTTGAGAGCGTGGTTTGCATGTTCCAAACTGGCAGTGCGGCGGGCATGGCCGTGCACACCTTTGGAGGCAGAGGCAGGGAGGGCACTCTGAGTTCAGGGCCGGCCTGGTGTACATAGTGAGTTCCAGGCCAGTCAGACCCTGTCTTAAACAAACACCCAAAACAAAACAACAACAAAATAAGTGGTAGTGAGGGTGCTTTCTGGGAGGAGAATTTAGCATCATAGAGAGCAAAGTTTACTCTGGAGTGGATGGGTGCCCCTGGATTTTGACTCCCACCCTTTTGAGCATAGTAATTGCTAGATGCAAACTAAGAGAACAGGGGTTTGCTGCCTGAATTTCCCCTGCTCTCAACCTTTGATCCTTTACTTATTTTGTGTATTTTTTTTTGTTATTTTTATTTTGTGTGTATGAGTGTATTGCCTGCCTGTGTGTAAGTGCGCCTGTGTCAGGTGCAGTACCTGAGGAGGTCAGAAGGTGTCAGGATCCTCTGAAACTGGAGTTACAGACAGTTGTTAGTTTCCATGTGGATGCGGCGATTCAAACCAGTGCAACCTTTGATCCTTTACTTATTTTGTGTATTTTTTTTTGTTATTTTTATTTTGTGTGTATGAGTGTATTGCCTGCCTGTGTGTAAGTGCGCCTGTGTCAGGTGCAGTACCTGAGGAGGTCAGAAGGTGTCAGGATCCTCTGAAACTGGAGTTACAGACAGTTGTTAGTTTCCATGTGGATGCTGGGATTCAAACCAGGGTCCTCTGCAAGAGTAGTCAGAGCTCTTAACCACTGAGCCATCTCTCCAGCCCCTTGGCTTGATCCTTTAACCAAGGCCAGTACCCTGGCTGAAGTAGTTTTGGAGAAGTGGGTGGGGGCAAGTCAGCCCTCCACACCTTTCCCCCCTGAAAGGATAAGAGGCGCCTCCTCTGGTACAAGACCGCTGTGATCTGGTTGTGTAAGGTGCCCGATAGTTGTAAAGTTTATGAGACTAATTGTAGGATAACAAATATTAAAAGCCTCTGGCTGGACTTCCGTTCTGGGGACGGTGCCTGACCACTTTAATGAGAGAGGAGCAGAATGAGGTCGTTTGCTGAGAAGAGAGTAAAGTGGCCGGGTGGGGGGGGGGGGGGTTGTTGTGCGGGTCAGGAAGCTCACATCAGACTGGGGTATAAAGTGATTATAAAGGAGGTTAAGATAAAAAAGCCAAGTGCAGACTACATTTGCAAATCAGGAGGCAGGCTCAGTCAGACTGGGTCAGATTTGAGCTGAAAGAAAGCCAGCCTATAGTATCAAGGCTACTGTTGCAAATAAGGGTGGGTGGACATAAACTTGGTGAGTCCATTGGGCTTCCCAAGTCAAGAGGCAAAACTGACCACAGGGGCATTTCTCAACCTTGAAAGATGTTGTTAGGTTTAGGAAAGTTGTTCCCTGTGGCAGACTCGACTGCCAATCCAATCGGAGGCTCAGCAAAGGACCTTTGTTCCCCTTTGCCCCACCCTGCAGCCATTTTGACTTTTATAAAAAGCTATCAAAGGTAATAGTGTATACCCCTCTCTCAGAAGGGAGTGGTCCTCACTGGTCCTGGCACACAGGGATTTCATTCTTTTTTTAAAGATTTATTTTTATTATTTTTAGTGTGTGTGCGTGTGTGCACATGAGTGCAGATACCTGCAAAGGCCAATGGCATCAGATCCCCAGGAACTGGAGTTACAGGCAGTTGTGAGCCACCTGGTGTGGGTGCTGGGAACCAAACTCTTTGGTCCTCTGTACAAACTGTATGTACTCTCAACCGCTGAGCTGTCTCTCCAGCCCAAGAGAGTTCATTCTTAGAGGATGCCCTCTTCTCTGACAGGCATGATTTAACGATGCTCCAGGGTCTGGCAGAGGGGAATTTGCAAGTTGATCATTCAAGGAACCTTATAGCAGAGGCCATCTGCTGCCCTGTGTTCATCCCAGGACACATGTATGTACTGTCCTTTGAAGACTGCTGTTGTAAAGAAATATGGACTTCCATTGCAGTGGAAAATGTCATCTTAAATGTCCTGCATGCAGGCTCTGCAGCACATGGAGGCTTTTCCATTCCTCACTGTTATCCTAGATTTCTAATCCTGAAGAATTTTTATTTTAAACTATCATTTGCTGAGGGGCTAGAGGATGTAGCTCAGTTGGCAGAGTGCTTCCCTAGTGTTGTGAAGCCCTGGATTCTATCCCCAGCACAGCATAAATGGGGCATGGTGGTACATGGTGCTGTAGGTGGTGGTGGGAGGATCAGAAGTTCAAGGCCATCCTCAGCTACATACGGAGAGTTCAAGGCCAGCCTAGGGTATTTAAGACCCCATCTGTATACTAAAACAAAACAAAACACTCATTTCCCAAGAGTCCTAGTCCAAAGGAACAGGAATCACCCAGAATGGAGGCAACTTGTATAGGTTGTTGAAATCTCTTCCATGTGATTCTGATGCTCTAATTAAAGAATTATTGTGTGGGAGCATTGGAAGATGAGGAGGGTTAGATCTTATTCAAGTGTGAAGGATAAGAAATGTCTGCTTACTACTGGAGAGACCTCAGGTACTGGGTCCTGGTTGTCCAACACCCTAAATCTGAGGCTGCTGACCCTGAGGAGGGGGATAAGTGCTTCCATCTTCCACACTTAAGGACTTGAGAGCATCTCACAGGTGTCCAGGACTAACCTGTCTCCTCTCATCATCAGAGTGTCTGCTTCTACTTCAGATTGTTGACACTTGGATATAAATATTACTAGCATGGAAAGAAAATGTGTCCTTTGCCTCTGCTTCCTGGGGCATCATAAAATGATAGAACTGCTTCGAGCAATAGATTCTTGAGATGAGGTAGGCTGGGGTAGAAGAAAAGGCAGTGAAATGAATATAATAGACATTGGTCCAAACCTGTCCTATAGTTAGCTGATCTAAGGTTCTTTTCGTGGCCTAGATATTATTGTCTCCATCCTGCACATACAAGGAAAACAGTATTAGAAAGAATGGGTATCTCACCCAAGATCACAAACCCAGCATGTGCTAGAGATATTTGAACTTAGATCTCCATGAGTATAGTACTTGAACTGTTTCTAGGAAATAGTGTGTGGTACAGAAGTAATGAGTATAAGGAACAGGGAACTTTGGACAAAGTCACTTAACCTTGTTGAACCTCAGTTTTCTCATTTGAAAAAAAAAATGAACTTGGACTTTGCTTCAAAAGCAAGCTTACTGACAAGAACCCTGCTTAATGACTGCTGTGTTTGGAACCTGTCTAGGAATCATAGCTACAGATATTCCTAGAGTGCAGGGAAAGGGGTCCTGTATTTAGTTTGAATCTCTGCAGTGTTTGAAGAAGTTGGGATTTTTCTCTGTAAGTGCTCTGGGCCTCCAAATTACTAGAGGAATTTTGCTAGCCATTGGCCCATTTGAGCTTGAACTTGGCCCAGCATGCTTGGTTCTGAGGTGCTGAAGGTCTGCTCTGTGAATGCTAACACTGGTTTTCTGCTGTACGTATGACTTTGTTCCTTGACCTTGTAAATCTCAAGTGGCTGACCAGGACTGCTCATTTTGTCCACACCCTTCCTTGAAACCAGCCTTTGATTTCTTCTCCATAAATTTATGGACACTGGTTTTCTGCTGTACGTATGACTTTGTTCCTTGACCTTGTAAATCTCTCCTTGACCTTGTAAATCTCATTTTGTCCACACCCTTCCTTGAAACCAGCCTTTGATTTCTTCTCCGTAAATTTATGATCTTTTTTATTTTAATTTTTATTTTATGAGTGTGAGTGTTTTGCCTGCATATATGTAAGTACAGTGTATATATGCAGAGCCTGTGGATGCTGGAAGAGGACATTGGATCCTTTGGAAAAGGAACCACAGGCAGTTGTTAGCCAAGATGTGGCTGCTGGGAACTGAACCTGTCCTCTGCCAGAGCAGCCAGTGCTCTTAGCTGCTGAACCAGCCCCAGTTTATAATCTCTTGATTAAGGAATGTCCCATGCACATTCCAATTCCTTGCATTCTGCCTTTGCTTTCTCACTCCCTGTGGGTAGAGATGCCCTCTTTCCTCCCCGTCCAGCCTCAATCCTTCCGCTCCCGCCCCACTCTAGCCGCAGCCCACCCCCATTGGCTGGTTTTTAACTTGAAGAATTTTCAGCTGCCTTGGGCTCTGCCTTCCTCTTACCTTGGTCACTCAGGGCCCTTTTGCTAATTGGGGGGATTCTGAGCTCTGGGCTGTGGCCTTGGTCCAACTACCACCCACTTGTGTTTTACCTGTACAAAGTAGGCTGACTCTTAGTATTTCAGACCAAGTTGCAATAGCCTGTATGAAAACCAACTTTCCAGATTTGTCTTTTCTGTCAGACCTGGCAGGATACAGTGAATCATTCACTCATGGGCTGTTATTTTGTTTGGGAGATGACAATATCATCCTGAAGCCTGACAGGGCAGCAAAGTGCTGGGAGTATGTTACATGTTCTCATTGCTATGACAACGTACCCAACAGGAAGCAACTTAAGGAAGGATTTGTTTTGGCTTGCTGTTCAAGAAGACAGTCCATCTTGCCAGGGAAGCCATGGTGACAGGAGCGTGAGGCAGCTGTGCACACTGCATCCATGATCAGGAAGCCGAGAGATGAATGCTGGTGCTCAGCTTACTTCCTCCTTTTTCCTCAGTCCAGGATGCCAGCCCATGGCATGGTGCCACACACATTTATGGTGGTCTTCCCACCTCAGCTAACCAGTCTAGAAAGTCCCTCACAGGAGGATTGTCTCCTAGGCGATTCTAGATCCAGTCAAGCTGGCAATCAGTGCTAACCATCACAGCAGTCTTTTCACCTTTTATCATTGTCTTTGCCCTGTCCTTTCCCAAGGTTGAATTCCCAGCCCACTGTTGCCTTTTCAATTGCAGCAATTAGCAGGAAGCATCTAGACCCCTTCCCATTCTTACCATCAGCAGTTAATTCCCAAGTCATTGTGCACTCGCCAGAGCTAAGGCAAAAGTCAGCCACTGGGAAGGGCTGTTTGGGTGGATGGACCCAGCCAGGGAGGGCTGACAGCCAGGAATGAAGTGTGGTTTCTGTTTAGATACCTGTTTGTATGCAGACCTCAGGATCTTGTCTAGGGAAAGGGCGTGTTGGGACCGAGGGATTTAGGCTTTGGTGAGCTTAACCAAGCAGGGTGTCAGTGCATCTTCTTCAACTATAACAGACTACTTGAGATTTAGTTAATTATAAGTGATAGACATTTATTGTGGTCAAAGTCTGGGAGCATGCGCTGGCTCTGAGGGCTTCTTGCTGTATCTTTGGGTGGCAGAGGCATCACATGTATGCTAAAGAGAACTCTTTTGGGGGACAAAAAAAATTATTTTATGTGCGTTGTTTGCCTGCATGTATGTAAGTGCACCTGTATTGTACAATGCCTGCAGATATTTATAGTAGTTGTCTCTTTTTATGAAGGAGGGGTTGAGACATGATCTACCTGTAGCCCAAGCTGGCCTGGAACTCACTGTGTAGCCTAGGTTGGCCTCAATCTCACAAAGATCTGCCTGCCTCTGCCTCACCAGTGCATGTGCCACATCAGGCAGTTGTGTCTTTTTTATAAAAAGATTTTATTTTTATTTTATGTGTATGAGTGTTTTGAATGCATACATGTATGTACACTACCTGCGTGTCTAGTGTCTTCACAGGCCAGAAGAGGAACTGGAGTTAAAAGCCAGTTTTGAGTTGCTGTGTGGGTGCTGAGAACTGAACCCAGGTCCTCTGTGAGAGCAGCCAGTGCTCTTACTTGCTGGCTGTCTCTCCAGGCCCTGGGACAACAACTTTTTTGCCAAAAGAATCTGGCAAACCTGCATTAACTGATCTAGAAAATAATTCCTGGCTTCCCAGCCAGGATGAGGGGAGGGTTCTAAGGCAGTAGAAAGCTCAAGGAAGCTCTTCTTTCCAAGTGAACCTGTTTGCTTCTCTGCAGGTTCTGGATGGTGATTAAGGAAGATGGACACATGATCACCGCCCGGCAGGAGCCTCGCCTCGTGCTGGTCTCCATCACCTTGGAGAACAACTATCTGACCCTCACTGTTTAGATACCTGTTTGTATGCAGACCTCAGGATCTTGTCTAGGGAAAGGGCGTGTTGGGACCGAGGGATTTAGGCTTTGGTGAGCTTAACCAAGCAGGGTGTCAGTGCATCTTCTTCAACTATAACAGACTACTTGAGATTTAGTTAATTATAAGTGATAGACATTTATTGTGGTCAAAGTCTGGGAGCATGCGCTGGCTCTGAGGGCTTCTTGCTGTATCTTTGGGTGGCAGAGGCATCACATGTATGCTAAAGAGAACTCTTTTGGGGGACAAAAAAAATTATTTTATGTGCGTTGTTTGCCTGCATGTATGTAAGTGCACCTGTGTTGTACAATGCCTGCAGAGGACAGAAGAGGGTGTTGGATCTCCTGGAACTAGACTTATGGACAGTTGTTAGCTGCCGTGTGGGTGCTGAGAACTGAACCCAGGTCCTCTGTGAGAGCAGCCAGTGCTCTTACTTGCTGGCTGTCTCTCCAGGCCCTGGGACAACAACTTTTTTGTCAAAAGAATCTGGCTAAACCTGCATTAACTGATCTAGAAAATAATTCCTGGCTTCCCAGCCAGGACGAGGGGAGGGTTCTGAGGCAGTAGAAAGCTCAAGGAAGCTCTTCTTTCCGAGTGAACCTGTTTGCTTCTCTGCAGGTTCTGGATGGTGATTAAGGAAGACGGACACATGATCACCGCCCGGCAGGAGCCTCGCCTCGTGCTGGTCTCCATTACCTTGGAGAACAACTATCTGACCCTCATGGCTCCAGACATGGACCAGATGATTTTGCCTATCAAGCTGCCTTCTTCAAACAAAGTCTACGACTGCAGGTGCTCTGCTTGGGGGGCACTGGGGGAACTGCATAGACCTGGTTTTCCTCGCAGCCCCGTCTGCATTTGTTACAGCTTTTATCAGTACTGGAGATGATGAAATTGGTACAGGGAATGTGAAGAGGAGTGAGTCTAGGTAAGGGGGAACTCATGTGTGTGGGGGTCCTGCCAGGTGCCATGTTAAGGGTACCCAGGACTAGTTTTAACCACTGTGTAGGTGCTGGGAATCAAACCCAGGTTCTCTGCAAGAGTAGCCAGTACTCTTAACTGCTGAGCCATCTCTCCAGCCCCTTATTTTCTTTTTGAGATGGGAGGGGTCTCATATATCCCAGGCTAGTTTCACTTCTTTATGTAGCTGAGGATGACCTTGAACTCCTGATCCTCATGCCTTTACCTCCTAAATGCTGGCATTACAGGCATATACCACCATGTGTGGTACTGGAGGTCAAACCCTGAACTTTGTGCATACCAGGGAAACGCTTTACCAGATGTTAATCAGTGAAAGTTGCAGATGTAGGAATGATGCTCATAAAGGAAGAAAAATCACTTCTATTGATGGGTAACTGGAAGTAGTTGCAGCTATTACACAGGAAGCCTCAGGGCTGACTAGAGAGCAGAGGGAGAAGGAGAAACCGCAGACCAGAGTCTTTGTGTTGGTTTCTTCAGGGAAGGGAAAAGCAAGGCTGGGCTAGGCTGTTGGAGTGACTTCAGCTGACCCCAGAACATAGAAACTCTGCCTTCTAGTCCTGATGCCTGCTCCTGGAGGCTAAGAGCTCAGTAATGGCGGGTGTGTGAGTCAGGCATGTATATGACTCCACTGCTGTCTGTAAGAAGTGATTAGTCACCCACAGGAAGGGCTGTTCTCCACTAAGGCCCCAAGATATCAAAGCATCAAAACTATAGAAAATAAAAAGCGTAGTTAATCCAAGTGTAAAGGGGAACACGTACCAGTATTTAGGGCTTGTTTCCTTTCGTTCCAATTAGACTTTTTAGAAATAATTTCAATTATATTTATTTATTTGTGTGGAGGGAGGGGTACGTGAGTGTCATGGTGTACATGTGGAGGTCAGCAGAAAACATGTGGGATTCAGTTCTCTCCTTCCACTATGTGGTTTCTCAGGGTCAAATTCAGGTAGTCAGGTTTGGTGACAAGTGCCCTTACCTACCAAGCCATCTTGCTGGTCCATGAAGAGAACTTTTTTAGGCCTCCAGTGAGCCAAGAAGAGTTAGTGGAGACATTACCACTCAGTGCTGGATGATGAAGATGCTGGAATTTTCCAAAGTAACTGTAGCCTCTGAAATCTGTAGGCAATATTGGGCACTTTTGGCAGGAGTGTGTTTTGGGGAGTGGGTGCTACCTGTGGCCAGAGAAGCCTCAGGCCTTGGCATTTGTTTGTGTGTGGGACCTTTCTCTGGGATGATCCATGGCTTGCTGAGGTTTTGCCCTTTCTTTCCTTCTTTTTCTCCTCTTTTCTTTCCTTCTCTTTCTTCCTTCCTTCCTTCCTTCCTTCCTTCCTTCCTTCCTTCCTTCCTTCCTTCCTTCCTTCCTTTCTCTTTCTTTCTTTCTTTCTTTCTTTCTTTCTTTCTTTCTTTCTTTCTTTCTTTCTTCTCTCTCTCTCTCTCTCTCTCTCTCTCTCTCTCTCTCTCTTTCTCTTCCCCATGCTGAGGGTGAAACCTGGGTTTCAGAGCTGGTCAGGAGGCCTTGCCTTTTGATGTTAGGAAATCAGAGACTTAGATGTTTGTGTGGGATGATGGGGTGATGTGGATGGGTTGGCAACCAGCTGAGGGTTTTTGTTTGTTTGTTATTGTTCTGGGGTTTGGACCTGGAACTTGTACATATTAGTGCTTAACCCCCGAGCTGTGTCCTCAGCCCTCAACTAGCTTTTTTTTTCAATTATTTGTTTTTATTTTATGTATTCGAGTATTTAGCCTGCGTGTATGTAAGACCAACTATGCATGCAATACCCATTGAGGGGCAGATGAGGAAACTGGATTCCCTTTAACTGGAGCTACAGGCAGTTGTTAGCTGCCATGCAAATGCTGGGAACTGAACCCAGGTCCTCTGCAAGAGCAGCCAGTGCTCTTAACCACTGAACCATCTCTCTAGCCCCTTCAACCTAACTTTTTTTTTAAAAAAGTATTTTATTTATTATTTTTATTTTATGTGTATGAGTGTATTGCTTGCATGTATGTGAGTGTACCCATGTTGTACAATGCTGCGGAGGTCAGAAGAGAGCTTCGGATTCCCTTGGAACTGGAGTTAAGGACAGTTCATAGCCTCCAAAGTGCGTGCTGGAAACTGAACCTGAGTCCTCTGCAGGAGCAGTCAGTGCTCTTAACCGCTGAGCCATCTCTCCAACCTAACTTTTTTTTTTGGTCGAGACAGGGTTTCCCTGTAGTCCCGGCTGACCTGGAACTCGCTATGTAGACCAGGCTGGCCTCGAACTCACAGAGATCTGCCTGTCTCTGCCTCCCAAATACTGGGATTAAAGGCATGCACCACCACGCCTGGCCCCAACCTAACTTTTTAACCACATGGAAATAGGTACTGTCCAAAGCTCTGGAACTCATAGAAGAACTTCATCTGCTTTTTCCACCAAAGTATATGAGGTGAAATCTACCCCCTCATATTTTGTAATTTCCAATAGTCTAAAGCAATAATTTACTGAATACAATATTTTGGCTAATTACCTTAACAAGCCTATAAGTGAACATCAGTGATTCTGTTTTACACAGGAGGAAAACAAGACTTTGATCCCTGTCACATGAGCATGGAGCTGGATTTGAGCTCAGGCTCCTCCTGGGCTTCTGCTTTTAATGCCCCTGTGTAGGGAGGGGAAACACTTTTCCACAAAGGACAGGTTTTGAAGAAATAAACTCAATGAAGAGAAAAACTAGCCATGTCAACCACATTGAGCTGAAAGCTGTGGGTGAGTGCTTACATAGTGAGTGATGAGTATTTGTGGCTGGGCAGATTCAGTGTTCCCCATGGCAACTTTCCCTTCTTGAGCTCTTTACCTGGTCATATAAGTGGAACCCTGGGAATGCTCAAATGCTCCCTGGAAGGAAAAGGAAAATGAGGAGACCATGTGGGAAGCGGGAGGGCACATGTGGAGGTCACTTCTCTCCTACCATGTACATAGATCCTGGGGATTGAACTCAGGTTGACATATCAGGATTGGTGGCAAGCACCTTTCCCTGCTGAGTTGTCTCACCCACCTAGCATTACATTTTTTGTGGGAAATTATAGACTATTAGAATTTCTTTCTTTTTAAAAAAATTCATGTATGGGTAGGGTTTATATTTATCTCCTTCTTGGTCTACACCCAAGGGTTGGCCTTCCACGTACAGTCTTCCGTTAATCTCGTTCTGAAACCTGCCAAATCCCTTAGACACAATAGATCTCAAAGGTTGAATTTTATGATGCCTGTACAGTAGCTTGCCTGTGTTCTTAACTAGGGTATCAGAGAAAAGCAAAAGTGTGCAGGGGATTTATTATCTTTCAGAGTTCAGCCAAATGTGAGGCTGATCAATGACTACGTTAGCCCACACAGAGCTGCGGAGCCTGGGCTTGCAGTACGGCAGCCACTCATGGGCATGTGGAGGTGGACTACTCAGATCCTCTCTAGGGAAGTGCTGGCCAATGGGGAGCTGTCTGCATTCTGCTCTTCAGAGAGCCCTGGTCCAGACAGCCACTGTATCTCTGGTCGTCTAGTGGTGACCTCATTCCAGGACTGAGAAGCACAAAGAGGCCACCCTGCTGTGACAGAGACCAGCAATAAGGACCGTGGGGTCCAACAGGCTGTGTTATTCCTCCTCCACCACCTCTGCCTTTCTCCTCTGCCTCCACAAGAGCTGACCTCAAGCTGACTGGTGAACTGGTTGTATTCACTGATCCCAGAGAGCCCCAGGGTTTCTCTGCCTTTCTTACCCTCCCTGTGACTTTAGTCTGTTTTATTTCTCATCTTCATTTTTGTGTTGTGGTGACCAACAACACAGGAAAGAGAAAATCTGAGTAAGAAACTGCTGTCTCTTGCAGCATTTGGTAGCTCAGACCTTCCTGTAAGGTCTCCCTAGAATATTATTTGAATTTCAGATCGTATTGTCTCCCTGTGTATTCCCATGTCTCCACTTTCTTGTACAGATTACTGAGTAGGTTATTATCTGTAATCACAGTATTGAGAAAGACTGTTGAGTTCAAGGCTAGCCTAGCCTACACGATGAGACAGTTTCCAAAAAGGTGGTGGGAGCTGGATGTGGTGGGACACCCCTTTAATCCCAGGACTTGGGAGGCAGAGGCAGGCAGATCTGTGTGAGAGAGAGGTCAGCCTGGTCTACATAGTTTCAGGCAAGCTGGGGCTACAGAAAGACCCTCACAAGAAGGTAGGTGTGTGTGTGTGTGTGTGGCATGCTTATGTTTTAAAGAGGAAGGAATGACTTCAAGCTTACCAAATAGCTATTGGGGTACAGCTTTAGACTAGCTAAGTAACATTTTATTCTTACATGTAACTTGATGTACATATTTAGGTATAACTAAATTAGGTACAGAGTATTGGTTGTCTTCTTAAACATTAAGATTTTTTCTAAAAATAAAAAAGAAAGGAAAAAAATGACTTTAGTCCTGGACAGTTGTCGCCTGAGTTTTCTAGGGTCCCTTGTCCCTGGCACTATTAGACAAACCATATAGCACATCTTTACCTGAATTTTTCATAGTTTATATCTTTGTGGGGGGAGAGGAGTGACTTACAAAGAAACGAACACACAACACTCAGCTCCCAGCTCTGAGTGGCTCGGCCCACCATTCCAGATTGCTTCTGCACCCGCCTACAGTCTCCATTAGCTTTTGTTGTGCATTGTGGGCCGCAGTCTCACCCCAGGTCAGGAAGTACCCCCTCTCGGATCCACATGGGCAAGACACCTGGCCATCTTTTCCATGCGCCTAGCTTCTGTTCCAAGATGGTGCCAAAAGCCCCTCCCCTCCACAGCTAACTCTCTGCAGT